AGCAGGTCTTGACTTTATCAAATCCTCCTGCTTAAAACCCCAACCCAAAATGAAAGGCGATACTTGCTAAAGAGCCATAATAATAGCAGCCTAGAAATGCTGAAATCTCTTTATTCTGATTTTTATCTTATTCTTTCTGGAAATGTTCACATAAAAATGGAAAGATTGAAAATAATAAATGATGAGAACTTTACCTCATTGATTCAGAATCTCTTGTGATGCTGCAGAGCAAATGTTGTGCTGAATTTTTTTTGCTCACCAATTTCAATAACACAGGAACAGAATAGTTCGAGAATTCCTCGAAAGTTCTGCTATTATTGTGAAACCATTTGATGTTTCAAAGCATTGTATAAAAGCAGCCCTGTTTTAATTGTGCTATTGGTGTCCTTCAAAGGTATTTAAAGATTGTGCTAATGTGCCAAAATTGGTTATCTCTATTGGGTTCCTTGGTTGCAAAAGCAAACATTCAAACCTGGGCAATTCCCAATCAGTGAATGTGAATGAGATAGAGGTGACTGGGCTCCTCCAAAGGGTGTAGTCCTGGATGGCTGCTGCTTTCTCATTTATTGACCCAGCTTTCCTGTTTATCCTTCCCCTGGTAGTGAGGAGGCTGTTACCAGAGGGTTTGTTCCTTGAGGATTTTCTAGAAACAATACGGTACTCCTCAAAGAAGATGGATTGTTTAGAATGAACTGTAATGTGAAGGAATTTTCATTATATTTAACATTTATTTGGACCATTCCAAGATTACAGTTACACTTAAATAAAAAGACAAAGAAGTAGATTTTGTTGAAACTCCTTGGAAGGAGAACTTGGGTAACCTTGAGCAGGACTAGTCACACATTCACAAGTGACTCACTGCCCTATTCATGTAATTAGGTTTTAAGGCTTAGAAATACTAAAACTAGTTCTAGAGAAATACTAAAACTATGTGGCCCATGTCCCCCACCCCCATTTGTGTGTATAATTCAATATTACAGAGCCTATGAATCTAAATACTGGTATTGCCACTTGTTTTATCAGAGATGTTTGAATTACTCACTACCATTCCCATAGGCATTTCCCCTCTCAGTCATAGGTAAAGGTAAAGGTTCCCCTCACACATATGTGCTAGTCATTTCCAGCTCTAGGGGGCGGTTCTCACCTCTGTTACAAATCCAAAGAGCCAGCGCTGTCCGAATATGTTTCTGTGGTCATGTGGCCAGCATGACTAAATGCTGAAGACGCACGCAATGCTGTTACCTTCCCACCAAAATGGTCCCTACTTGCATTTTTACATGCTTTTGAACTACTAGGTTGGCAGAAGCTGGGACAAGTAATGGGAGCTCACTCCGTTACGTGGTGCTAGCGATTCAAACCACCAAACTGTTGACCTTTCTGATCGACAAGCTCAGCGTCTTAGTCATTGAATCACTGCGTCCCTTTTCTCTCAGCCATAATGGAGTTTAAATTGACTTGAAGCAACAATAAAAGAGGTAGAGAAAAGGACTGAACGAACCGAAAGGAAATTAGAAAGGATAGATGAAGAATTAAAGAATGTGAGTAAAGAAATGGAGGACTCACTGGTCTACCTAGAGATGGACAAGGCTGCTACATACTTGAGATTCCAAAATGTAGTGGAATCCAAAGAAGAAGACCTGGAACAACTAATGGCGGGAATACTGGCTGGACTATTGGAAAAGGATAAAGATGACATCTTAAGGGAGTTTGATGAAGTTTACAGGATTAGCACTAATTATGCGAGATGCCACAAATGCCCAAGAGAAGTCCATATACGATTTGTGAGAAGGAGTGTCCGGGATATCATATATAGGATCTCAAGAAATGAAACAATTACGTATAAAGGTAAAGAAGTCTTGATTCTCAAACAAATACCAAGAAGAGTAAGAGAACAAAGACGAGACTACAAGTTCTTAGCAGCTTACCTAAATCAGAAAAGAATCGTATTTAAATGGCTAATCCCAGAGGAGATGTTAGTTTTTTGGAACAAAAGGAAAATTAAAATAGACTCCATGGAAAAGGCCCAGGAATTTTATGAGCGATTGGTAGGTCTGGAAGACCAGAGCAGTAAGGAGGAACTGGAAACAAACTCCCAGGAAGATCAAGGCTATCATAAGAACAGAGATGGAACTTTAGGAAATCAAGGAAATACTCATCTACATCAGGAGAGAGAAGAAAGTAGGACACATCTTCAGGCACAAGGAAAGACTGGAGCCATTACAAGACAAAAAGCGAAACAGAATTAATTAAATGGAAGAAGAAAAGAAACTACTATCAATTAATATAAATGGTTTAAACTCGACGATAAAAAAGGAAAAGCATAATAGCTAAACTAATCAAACAAAATGCTGATATAATATGCCTACAAGAAACTCATATAAAGAAAACAGATGAAAAATACCTAGAATGTCCGAAATTAGGGAAGCTATTTACTGCACCAGCAGACATGGGGAAAAAGAAAGGATTGAAGTATACGTTAGAGGATTTGAAAGCAGATTTAATATGGTCGGATTCTGAGGGAAGAACTCTGGTTTTGCAGATCTGGATTAATTCCATCCCAATTCTCTTAGTGGTAATCTATGCCCCGAACGGAGATCAAAAAGAGTTTTTTAAGCATCTTTATGGAAAAATAGTAGGATTGGGGAAAAGAAATATTTGTATCATAGGAGACTTTAATTCTATTGCTGATTATCAAAAAGACCGCAGTAATGGGGGGAAGAACAAAGGGGGGAAAAGAGAGCTTCCCAAGATATGTATGGAAATGATGAAGGAGTTAAATTTGATTGATATATGGAGAAGATTACATCCTGAGAAAAAACAATTTACATTCTATTAAAATCCTCATCAAATATGGACACGAATTGATATGACATGGATGATGGGGAAATAGCAAATGAGATAAAAGGGATTGAAATTTTACCAAATGAATGAGCAGATCACAATCCAATTCAGATAATATGGAAGGGTAGGGAAAAACCCAAGAAAAGATGGACGTTAAATACTCAGTTAATAAGAGAAAAAGAATACACCAACAAACTCAAGGAGGAATTAAATTATTTCTTAAAGGAAAATGATAATGGAGCAACTACGAAACAAAACATGTGGGATTCAATGAAGGCAGTAATAAGAGGTATAACAATCTCTTATAATGCCAAGAGGAATAAGGAAAAATACGCCCAGCAAAACAAATTACAACAAAAAATTAAGGAATTAGAAACTCAATTACAGAGTACCCCAAAGGATTCAAAATTGCAAAATCAGATAATAATAACTAAACATAAACTGAATTTAATTGAACAAGAGAGAATGATTATAAATTTGAATACAACTAGACAAACTTATTTTGAGCATGCTAATAAGCCAGGGAGATGGCTATCATATAGACTAAAAAAAAGGAAAGAAAAGAGATTGATATACCAGCTAATAGATGGAAAGGGGGATATACAACAGGAAATAGAACAGAAAAAAGAAATTGCCCATAAGTATTTTGAAGAGTTATATAAAAAGGAAGAAGTTAACAAAGATAGAATAAGAAACTATTTAGATGAAGTGAAGGATAAAGCAATTGGGGAAGAAATGGAAGAATTATTAAACAAAGACATTACTTGGTTTGAATTGAAATCAGCAATAGAGAACCAGAAAAACAATAAATCCCCGGGACCAAATGGGATTCCAGGGAAGCTGTACAAGGCAATAGCGGAACAAATAGGACCTCTTATGGTGGAAGTTTTTAATGACGTCTTATTGGCAGCCAGGATGCCGGACTCATGGAGGGGGGCATTGATTTTGCTGATCCCGAAGGAGGATTCGGATCCCCGATGTATACATAATTATAGGCCGATTTCACTGTTAAATACTGATTACAAAATATTCACTTCTATTATAGCAAGTAGACTAAAAAGAATGCTAAATGAGCATATATATGAAGATCAAAATGGATTTCTCCCAACCAGACAAATCAGGAACAATTTAAGAACAGTACTAGATGTCTTAGAATTTTATGAAGCCCACCCCGAAAAACAAATTGCACTTATGTTTTTAGATGCAGAGAAGGCCTTCGATAATTTAAATTGGCACTTTTTAATCCAAAAATTTTTATAATATGAATTTAGGCACCAAATTTGAAAATATTATAACAACCATTTATGATACACAACAGGCTAATATTATAATAAAGGGGGAATATACCTGCCCAATAAAAATAGAAAAAGGAGTCAGACAGGGCTGCCCACTCTCACCCCTGCTCTTCATATTATCATTAGAAGCATTACTAATGTGAATTAGACAGAACCCAGACATAAAAGGATTAAAGGTTAAGAAAGAAGAATATAAGTTGCAAGCGTTTGCGGATGATATGATTTTTTTCATTGAGGAACCAATAGAAAGAGGACAAAAATTGATGAATGAATTAGAACAATTTGGA